CGGTCGACTCTGAGGATCCCCAAACCGGTCTGGATCGGTCTGAACCGGTATCATGGACCGCAAAAGACCGGTCCTAGGTGGTTCGGTTCGGTTCCCTCAATATCTGGGTCGGTCCTGGACCGGTTGCGGTCCACGGTTGCGCGTTTTCGGGGCAAAAAACCGGACTGAACTGAACCTTTAAACACTAGCCACTCCATGCTCCCTTCTCATACATCGGCAGTGATCTTGACTATCCCCGTTATCCTCTACTGCAGCTGTCTTTTAGTGTAATTTTTTGTTAGTATTGTGTCCACTTTACCTTGTTATTGTTGTGGGCCACAATGTATTATTATGGGCAAAGTATGATTTAGGTTTGTACTATGTCGCGTGACTTCAACATGCCAACTTTGACGCACCAACACATGGCACTATGGTATCAATCCAGCAGGCCCTCTGCTGTCTCCTTGTGTTGCACATCTCCCTTATCTGGCTGACAGTGTACCTCCCACAGTATACATTCCCAGTATTGTGGGGGAGGCTACCAGTTGCATCCAGCTGACAATCGCCAAATATTTCATACCTCTTTCATTGCACCCTTTTACTGGGTATGTTCTCTCAAGACATGTTTGGTGAGCTGCTCTGCACTATCCATTTCCGAGCACTTAGGACCGCTTTTCCAGTATCCACACCTATTGCCCCTTTCATGGGCTCTCCTTTTGTGGCAACCGCCACTGCTACAAGTGTTTCAGAAAATCTTTCTTCTGAACTACGACATCCTCAAGACAAGTGAGAGTCATGGGTGCCACTCATCTTTGGGAGGTGTGTCACGCTCAAGTGAAATGAGAAGAAAAAAATTCTGACTCCATTCCAGATTGTGCAGCCTGCATGTCAGGTGCGGTCGCTATCACAGCTGACTGTGAGTGAAGGATTTGAAGAAGATCGGAACAGCCGCCACACCATCGTGGTTGGTGTCGATGCAAGGTACATCCCTTGCCCCATGGCTTGAGCAGCTCTCACCTGCATTCACAGTATCTGGTTGCACCAGACTCAAGCTGTCTTCCACCATGCCCGCCACTCTCAAGCCGGCGAAAACCCCAAGCTTCGAATTCTCTTCTACAAGCTCAACCGCCTCCTGGATCAATGCCTCGATGTTGTTGTTGTTTTCGATGGTAATGAACGGCCTGCAACCAAGTGAGGAACACACATCCACCCACGAGAGCATTGGCTTACCCAGTGTTTCCGAGAATTTGTGAGGGCACATGGGTTCAGTGACCACACAATATGTTCTAATGTATATCCTCTGAGTGAGAATGCCTTATCGCTAGACACCAGGCTCCTGCTGAAGCGGAGGCAGAGCTTGCTTTTCTGAATAGGATGGGCATCATTGATGTTGTAATGACAGATGATAGTGATGCCCTCATCTTTGGTGCTGTTCATGTCATGTGGAAGTCAGTCAATCTCTCTTTATATCAACCACCTGCTCTGACCTCCTTGCTCCAGCCTGAACATCAAGAAGGATAAGGACAATGTCACCATCTACAGTGCTCAGTCTATCAAGAGCACAGCTGGCATCAACTTAACGCAGGGTGGGTTGCTCTTGATTGCTATTATTTGTGGTGGAGATTATGACAAGGTAAGTTGTCTGTGCAGTTCTATACTATAGACTTATTCTGACCTTGATACTTGTGCAGGCTGGACTACTGGGTTGTGGAAAGGTCGTAGCACACGGACTTGCACAGACTACCTTGGGTGACACCCTTTTGGAGGCTGGTAGAGATATGTCTGAGGCAGAACTGGTGAACTTTCTAGTCCAGTGGCGCAAATTGCTGAGAGTTGAGCTATTGACGAATAAACACGGCTTTTTGAAATGCCAATACCCCTCTGTTGTAAATGCCATCCACCCAGACTTTCCAGATCCATCGGTTGTGCTGAAGTACACACAACCTATTACTTCTTGGTCCCATGGAAGGCCACTACCTCCATTTTCTACTTGGTTTACCCATGAACCTGACCTTGCTCAACTGGGTGCTCTTGCGGAGCGATCATTCTCTTGGCCACCTGACAAAATTGTGGAGAAATTTCGCAAGCGGATATGGGCTGGTGTTTGCCTTCACCGCCTTCTAGAAGTATGCGTCAATATTCCCAACTGACATTACTATCACTAACCATGTCATGTTCTAGGAGAAAAGCCCGCTCCTTGCTCTTGTTGACCATGTAGTGCACGGCATTGTCACCGATGGCTTGCCAGGCCTCTCAGCCTTTCGCCAGATCTGCGGAGTCAACAGCAGCTCACTCACATCAACGATTCCTTTCTATGCCATTGAGATTTTGGAGAACAACCTTTTGAAGAAAGCCACATCCACACTCCAGAACAACACCGATGTTCCGATGGCCAGGAAGATTGCAGTCAAACTTCCAGTTTCTATTGTGCGCCGCATCCTCCCTGGCCTCCACTGGAAAAAGCCACTACCACCTGACCTTCAACTCAAAGAGTGGGAACTGGTGAGTCTGTGTGAAACCTTACACATTTTTTATCTGTTGATTCCAGAGTTAAGATCCTAAAGCCTATGGATCCAATCATTAATATCAAGAACACCGCGGATGTGCCTGACACTCCTTATCCTTGCTTGATCACTGATCATGTTGGTCGCATGGCCGATGATGCAGATGATCTCCATGCCACTTCCTCTTCTTCACACAAACTACCACCGCCTGTTGCTTTGCAGGAAAACATGACTGGCAATCTAGGCCTCTCGCATTCTCGTGGACGCCTGATTTCTGATTTTCTTCACCTTACCAATGATTACACAGACTTCAACCTCACCGGCAGTGATAATCTACTCTTTGACCTCACTGATACAGTCCTTGATCTCACCAACGATCTCACTGACAGTGATACACGCCCTGCTCCCATAACCTCCGGCAGACTCTTCACTGATGAAGTCATTGATCTTACTATTGATGACTGATATTCTCCTTCCATGCGGCACTCCGTATCACTGTTTTCTCATGTAACATTTACTTGTTGCCATGTAATCTGGCTGATCTCTATTGATCAAGTGTCCTTTTGCATGGGATCTCTCCTATTTGACCCAGATGTATGATAAGTTGCGATATTCTCAATCTGATACATATTCCTGCTGGCATGTCTTCCCTCACAATCAAGCTTCCTGCCTTCGCAGGGGTGCGGTGCTTTGCTTCCCCACCAGCTGATGAGAGTCCAGAAGAGCTAGAAGCACAAGATGATCTTGAAGGAGAGAAAGACTTGATTTTCCCATCCTTACCAGATGATACTCTGGCCAACAATCTTGGTTCTTCAAGTTGTAAACCAGGTACATCATTTGCGAACCTGCAGGATTCCATCCTTCAGGCCTCAAAGGGAGTTACAGAGGGTACTGACCAAGAATACATGCGGTGAGCTGCATCATCAATTATTTTAAAGATAACACTGATTCTCTACCAGATTGAAGGCCCAATGCCATGCTTTTCTGGTGAAAGAGGGCCTCATCAAGGATAGTGATCCTTTCTTCTGTTCAACACCTCATGAGCATGCACCACTCTACATTACAGCCTGGATCATGCACCAGTTGGCTACATTTACATTTATTGTGATCCACAACTGATGCATATCAGGTGTGACTCAGTCAACCTGGATGGGACAGACAAGGACATAAACCAAGAGTGATCAACTTATGCACATGCTCAGAAAATGCGTGCAGCAATGACATATGTCTTTGGGTGAATTCATGGACTGGCGACACTCCCCTGGCACAAGCAGGATTTTACTGGAAAAATGGTGGGGAATCCCTCTGTTTCTGTTGCAGTATCAAGCTATATGGTTAGTCTTCGAAGGAGAAAGGTATTCTAATGGCAATTCCCATTTTTGAAAGAGAGCTCAGGTTTCCCAATTTTTGACATTAGGTTCAGGCAGGAGAAACAGCTACAAGTGCTCAGGCAATCACTTCTGTGTGTTCTATGAAGAATTGCGAAACTCATACTGATATTTCACATCAGAAAATGCTCTATGATTTGTACCACTTCAATCACCAAGAGGAGAATTGGAAGATACACGAGGTGGCAGCTGCTTCTCGCAAAAAAACGGACGCAGCCAATTCAAATGACTGGGGTGGTGGCCATACCCGGCAGCTGCTCCAATTTGCATACACAGTCTCTTTTCTTTGTCTACTCCGGTTTGACGAGGTTCTGAAAATTCAAGCACATGACATTGATTTGGTGTCCAACACATGTATCAAGCTCACACTACCATTCAGAAAAACTGTGCAGAATGGAGGTAAGTCCTTGTCAAGTGATTTTCCGGATGAGTAATTCAATTCCAGTCAAGAAATTAAACCATTTTTTCTGCACAAGCTCTCAGAGGCAGAGTGACACTTGTGTCCAGTCACAGCCTATGCCGAATGGGTAGAATATTCTGGGATCAAAGAAGGCCACCTCTTTCCCAAAATGAATAAACATGAACAGGTTGTGCAGAATCAGAGTGCCCCCATGGTATGCTCATTTATATCAGATATATGCACAGATTTTACCTTTGAACAGAGCACAGAGAAATTCTTGGAATGCTTCAGGAATAACCTGATTGACATTGGCATTGATCCATCTCCATACGGCACACATTCATTTCACCATGGGGGTTGCCAGTACCCTTCATCAGAGCAGCGTTGGCCAATCCGTCGCATCTGTGAATGGGGTGGATGGAGCACTGACTTCACACACATGACAATTGTAAAATATCTTATGTCATGGAACGACGTGCCAATGGAGAAGAGGGAAGATTTTTTCAACCCATCAATTGCACCAACAGTCAAATGCTTTTCTTGTGGACGTACTTGTGCATGTGCATGATGTGGTAACATTAAAATGGTTCAGCAGACTAAATGTAGAGTAACTCGGAAAAAAGATTCTGTATTAACTTGCTATCTAAGATTCCTCATCATAGTCAGCCTCCTCCTCTTGCTGAAGCTCACCATGGAGCTGATGATAGTGCCAAGCAATGCTTGAGTCCTTGCTCATCACAACCTGTGTGCTGTCAGAGGTCCGGCGATACAAAAAAACTTTATCAAATTCCGAGCCATACTCTGCGCGTGCTTTCGCACTCAGCGCTTGATCGTTAGCAATGTGCAATTGGGTGATTGCCTTCTCGATGGCAGTGTAAGAGAGCAGCTTGCCATCAATGGTAAAAGCCGCCTCAAATTCAGCTTGAGTTCCTTGAAGGTATCGTTGTGCGACAGTCTACAAACACCACTTTGTAAGCTCACGAAACATAGAAAAAAGCTTAATTTCATGTACTTTCCACTTAGACCACTCGCCCTTCTTCGCCTTCCATGCAGCTGGCTTCCAGTACCAATAGAGCTGGGGCCAGAACTTGAGCGGAATGTGATGCCCACAGACCATGGTGACAGAGACACCACACCAGGCAGGGGACAAGTCATCCCACATTGAAGCCAAACATGGAATATCCTTACTGACTTTGATGTAGGCAGGATTCGGGACATCCTTGACAGTGAACACAACCACCTGGCCACTAGCCAGAGTCAGTGATCGTGTATCAATGGTGCTGACTGATGTTGACAAGATGGTTGGAAAGGATATGGAAAGGTTGGGAGGGACGCAAGATCCCATTTCAACGTCCAACATCGACAAGGAATCTCTGAAGCAGGGGATGGCGGAAAAACCCATGCATCGATTGGACGAGTTGGAGGCGGCATTGGCATGATCAACATGAACCTTGCTTAAGCTTGCTGGTTTGAAGCTCGTGAGGGATGGTGGAATGGAGGGTTGATAGAACTGTCCTGCTGCAGTGAGGGAAGGAGGCGCAATGGGTAGTACAAGTGGAGTGGATGTAGATTGTCCCCCTGCTGATTCAAGAGGGCCTGAATGAGGGTCCATCTCATCAGTCCTCTGCACAGGTGGTTTGTATGGAAACCGCTTGACATAACTCTTCGCCTGTGATTACGTTCAAATTTCAGAATCAATTGGCTAATTGAGAATTGGAGACTTACCCAAGGAACTACCATCGCAATTTGCTGAGCCGTCCGACAATCCTTTGAACGTTCTGTGGGCAGGGCATGCAAAACAGGTGGCGAGGAATCAGAAGCTAGACCACTCTTGAAGAGTGCTGCCCGTTGCACGTGGGATTGCTTCTGGTATCACTTTTGTTTCGCATCTGGCCTGGGACCTTTGTGAGAGTGGGTCTTGGCTGGCCCGAGGCTGCAAGGGAACAATGGAGGTGAGGTACAATGCTTGTAGATATCGAGCCATGCTACTCGCCTCTTCCATCTCTTGTCATCCCAACTGTACTCCTGAAGCCTGGCTGTCAAGTCCGCAATGTTGCCGGATATGGGAAGCTTGAATTCGTGGCACCACTCTTTGAGGATAGACTTGGATTGGCCCTTCCTGTATGGCTTGGATCAGTTGTCCAAAGGTGCAAATATACTATATGTACTCACAGTGTCAGATACTGTACCTCTCAGGTTCCATCATGGCCCAACGATCCAGGGAAGGGAAGCTTTTCTTGATTCATGGTGCTCGCCCGCTTGTGGATCTGAGCGATGTCGACGGGGAGGAGAGGGGCATGCGGTTCCACCTCCATTGCGTCCGAGACCATTCCAAATGTGTTGCCGATCACAACACAGATGAGGGCCAGGAGATCGGGAGCGACGAGGAGGGAAAAATAGACAAGTAGAAAGAGCTGTGAGAGCTCGTGAAGCTCCCAGATGAGTGCGACGGCTGAGAGGAACTCGTCGGTGACATGATGAGTAGCCGCCTGCACTAGTTCCACAGCGACCTGGTAAATGGAGCGTTGGAGGCAGGGGAGGAGGAGGCCACTAAACATGAAACAGGACGATCAGTGATCGTACAGTGGAACACCGAAAGAGGAAATGAGGCTGTGTGCAGGGAGACAATCCAGGGTGCGGGAAAGTGGGAAAGGCACAGTCCAGGGTCACGATGGTGTGACTGGACTGTCTCTATCTCAAGAGAAGTAATGAGTGAAAGACGTCACGTTGCCTTGTGGCATTCGCCACACTTCAGGTACTAGCGCTTTTGCCACGTTGACATCTTTCCTCTCAACTTCCATCTCATCGTCTGCAATGTGTAATCAACCTAACGATTACTTCCTTGAGTCTTCTTGGTCGCCGGAACCTCGATTGGCGAATCTCGATAGCACCGCTGCAAAACTCTGTCCCAGTTCTGCGCTGCCCATCTTGAGGACTTCATCTTCAGCCAACCGCGCTGTGGATGCAGGACCGACTGTCGCTAGTGAGGTTCCTGGCAACCCTGCTGCCCATTGAGTCACCATCAGTTATGATCAAGTCAAACATCACATCAAGGAGACTGGAGACTGCTCATGAAGTGGTCCGTGTTCACCCAAAATCTCATTTCCACTGGCTAATAAGACTTGCATAGCTACTCCAAGTGTTTACCCACCCACCTCGACCACCTACCCGTCCAACCTTTCTATTGACAGGGGGTTAGCATCAGCTGCTCATGTGCTGAAGCATCAATCTGCAAGCATCAGTACTACCAATGCTGACATCTTAACCATTGTTCCACTTGACACAAGGATATCTCCAGCATTTAACACAGTGGATGATGCAGAAATGGCTGTTGCTGGTATGATTTCTTTAATCTTTTTGCTTATATCAATTCTTATTTGATCAAAATTTATAGGTGACCAGGCTGGAGCAATACTTTCCATTCCTCCACTGATTCCTACCAGAATACACAGGAATCCAACTGGAATAGACAGAAAATCTCATTATTTATATATTTGGCACTTCTATTTTAGACATACATTTTGGAACAGGGGAATTGACCAAAATAAACCAGTTCTTTACCCTCCCTCACATGCTCTGATCAGAGCTGTTCAAAGTTTCTACAATCAGAATGGATCAGCACTGATCAGCATCAGCATTGCTGATCAACACTGAACTAGAGACTTTATCTGCACTAATTCAACTCCTCAATACTCAAAATTTCTTATAAATTTCAGACCCCATAGATCTCAATAGATCAAATTTTAATGTACTTGATTGATGACATAAAATCTATTTTACTACATACAGTGCATATCAAAAGGGACAAGGAAATGGGGAGGAACAGGGAAAGGGATACAAGGAAATGGGGATGGACAGGGTAGGGGGAGGGAAAAGGAAGGGAGGGACAATGAAATGGGGAAGGGGGAAGGGGCAAGGAAATGTAGAGGGACAGACAGGGAAGGGGGGAGGGAAAAGGAAGGGGGTACATAGAAATGGGGAGGGCATAGACATGGAGATGGACAGGGAGGGTGGAGGGAAAAGGAAGGGGGGGAGGGAAAAGGAAGGGGAGGAGGGAAAGGAAGAGGGAGGGACAGGGAAGAGGGTGGGTCGTCGTCATCCGCTAACGTGGTCATCGTCTGTTGACGACGTCGTCATCCATTAACGTTGTTGATTTGGGCATCAGGAATTCCATTCCGTCTCATTCCAGGAGCATTCCTTCCGGGTGATTCCTGGAACCATTCTGGTGGAATTTGAATTCCATCAAAATTCTGCCGGAATGGTTTGATCAATTTGGCAGGGCCCTCTGCCAAATTTGATTCCACCGGAATTCCAGGAATGGCCCGGATTCCGGCAGGAATCAGTGGAGGACAGTAAAGACCTCGGCTGGAGGCCCATCACATGAGACTGTCCAATCTTTGCAACAGCCTTTTTCTATGTTGTCTGGTCTGTGTTCTCTTGAAATCCTGCTTTTCAATGTTACTGATCTGATGGCTTTGGCATAGGTGGTTCATCCCACCTTCCCATTGTAGATTCACCAAAATTGAAGTCATCAGGTAGAGTCACAATTTATTTTCATGGTTTATAATACATGAAAGCTTATAATGCAGACTCTCTGACAAAAACTGAGCTAAACAATTATAATAAGGAAGTTCAAAATGTAAATACTGGCAACAACTATGGTCAGTTTAATTGGGCAATCTCATGTTCAAGATTTTCAGCTGTATTGTCATAGGTCTTTTGGTTCAGAATGTCAATAATCAAGGTGTTTGATAAATATATCATTGTATTGACCTCAATAACACCTTGTTCAGAAGTTGAAAACTTGGGCATGCAAATTGATTTTACATGCCAGTTTCAGCTGAATCATTTTGGTTGATGTATCTTATCATTTTAGATAAAGATATTCATACTTGGCTTTCTCCTCCTGACAGCCCCAGGAATTACCATGCAACATCTGCAATTCAACAGAGTCAACCAGCCTCCTGCTTGTGGTTTCTCAATGGGAAGAGCTTCTCTACATGGCTGGCAGAGCCTGGTTTTCTCTGGATCAAAGGCAAATGTAAGCTATCCATAAAGCATATAAGTTGGGTGACAAATTAACCAGTTATCAAGCTGGATGTGGCAAAACAGTTTTAAGGTGAATACTTTACATTCTTTATTGTGTTTAGATGGAGCTAATTGAACTTTTCATTAGCTCTTCCATTATTAATCATCTCTACAAAACACAATCATCTCTGGCAACTGCTTATTTCTTTTTTGATGGCAGAGATTCTCAGAAGGACCTACACACCTGAAACAAGGGACGATCGGACACCTAAGCAAAGAGATTGACAGATACAAGGACAAATTAATTATTTTTGACTATTGTTTGCTGATAAGACGGACTCATTACAAGATTTTTAGTCTGACAACCAATTCCGCCGAGGGCCGAATCTTATTGTCGCATTTTAAAATTTCCATCAAAATTTATTATAATTGTGTTTTGATCCTTCGAAAAGTTGACAAATCTTAGGACAAACAAGAAATATGTAGCCTAATATATCATACTTTCACAGCCTCTTACAAGTACAAAATCCGTATATAGAACATATTCTTGAACAATTTCAAAATTCGTATTGAAGCCATACTTGGAAAATGGTCTGCATAAATATACAACAACATATATATAATCTGACACCAAATCCACCAAAAAGACGAAGCACAAGTCAGATTTAGAGTATTTCCAGGAAACCAAGTGAATATCCCAGTGAAAGGGCCACTCACAGGATCATCACAGCCCGATCACTGGTTGTCGAAATCATTGTCCAGGTAATTGCATGCCTTTGAGTTTTTCTTATGCAATCTCCGGGATTGCTGCACAGTCCGTTTCAGCTCAAGCTTCACAAAGTCAGAGATGGCCCAATTATCTTTGAACCACTTTAGCAATGGAAATTTTTCAAGTGCCTGCAGCTTTGTTAGTCACATTGACTCAACTTGAGCTAAATCACCTTTTCATAAATGGTATCTAAATCGGCACTGGATTGTTGCCTAAAGGAAAGGCTGGTCTCTAGGTGGTCAGCAACCAATCACGAGATTAGACCCTAAGTAAGGATCAGCAAGGCTTTAGGCATCAATAAAAGTTAGAACTTACTTGTACATCTGCGAATTGTTTGTCGTCGACTTTCATTTCAACCTGAAGGTTGTAAGCCCGGGACACTTCCCCTTGTGGTTTTAACATCAGAATTGGGTGGTATGATTTGCTACTTGATGACTCGGCTGTTTCGGGCTCGTCCGGATCCATGACATCATAATGGTCAATGAAAGTGAATGCAGATCTTAGAGTACTTGGTGGAGGGGTGAGCAAGCGCTCAGGGGAAAATATGGACCTTGTGGTTGGACGTGAGTGGTAACATTGGATGCGATGGGGAGGCATTAGAGCAGTTCGAGCGAAAAAGTCGCAGCTTATCAAGTCCATAGGTTGTCATTGTTCTCCCGTCGTTATACAAGAACAAGAAACACTACAACAGTTGGGACATGGTCACCATTGCTATGGAAATTGAGCCTTTAAAGAGTCAGTGGACCACAATGCCCTCATTGACCTGTAATGGCAGACCTAACAATTGAACACACCGAACATATCTTACAACGAGATATTATCATGCCAACCACTCTCAAAAAGTTTCGCAGGGAGATCCTGAAGTCTTTATGTCAAAAGTTCCAACTATCTGTCCCCTCCACTGCCAAAAGAAACCACGTGGAGCCTACCAAAACCGACTACGAGAATGCTCTGATAAATTTTGTGAGATAACGCTGCCAGATGCGCTGAAATAAACTTACTCCAATTTCAGGTGTTGGGTACGCATGAAGATAGTCAAGCCGATATTGAGATGGGTATTGAGACGGTGGCGGTCGATATGCGGAGCTTGCCTTTAGAACCTCTCCTGGTGGACAAAGACGAAGCTGCACGAAGCATTCCTGAAGTTCCCCATCACATACTCCGCGTACGTCACTTTGAAGGGCCAAAAGACTGGTGTCACAGACAAGAGATTGATGTCGAGTGCAACGACAACGGAGACCTCAACCTTTTCACAGTCCTCCAAAAGCTCCGCATGAACGGAAAAGTCGTCATAAGAATGATAAGCCGAAGTCTTTACCTTGCTAAACACCTTTATAGGTTTTGGATCCACGGAAGCTACGGCCGTTTCTCGAGTACAAGGTGAACATGCTCGAAGCTGACGACATTGACTTGCTCTTCAAACATGGCTACCTATGTGTAATCAGTGAGAGGACATCAACCAACAAGATGCTAATGACCATGATATGACTCATCTCATTATCTAGTTCAACCAGAAAAGCATCACTGACGGGTTTTTCCTTGGGTTCCAACCGTACCCTAACGGCACGCCCTGGAGACAACATTGACGTTGACCAGCCAGGGAACAATTGCTCACTCCCTGTACGACCTTAGGCTCGCCGATTACAATTGACTGGGCTTTCATTCATCTATTGTATATTCGTTCTGAAACTTCATATGGACTACAAAGATATTGATTCCCCATTGTCATGGCAAGTGAGTGGTTGTGGGAGGAAAAAAGGCAACAACCCAACACCTTGCTGGTTTTGACAATGGCTACTTTAGGGCAGCCTGACATCTTTCCATTGATCCTTGTAAGGCTCCCCTAAAGTCACTCAAGCCAATAGACACCAAACCACACAAACACACACTCCCACTCACAAGAATTTGGGGAGAACTAGGTGTTGCACCTGCAATTGAATGAGTGCCTGGAACGTACTAAGTTTTTGTTGATATAGAATATTTACACAGAGTAGATTAAATTTATGAGCCAAGGGGTGAATTTCGATGAAAAAAGCGTAAGAAACGATCATTCCAGCACTTAGGAATACCCTAGATCATCCCCATCACCGAGGCTAACTGGTCAGATTGCATGGTAGGTGGTTCATAATTCTTGAGCTGCAGAAGTGGTTTTCTTGGATCTTTCAAAGCACATTGACCATCATTGTATTTTGCGACCTTCAGAAGCTGACCGCAAAGCGGACCGCTAAGTGGCATGACGAGTTCCCCCTCCATCGTTGGATGGAGGGGCAGCAGATGTTGTAATGGTATTTCCAGGGTTTTGAAGTTGATTGAGACCTTCGAAATACTACCACCAATTGCGGACAAGAATTGCGCATACTTGCCATGGTAAATCCCTCCTTCATACCATTTTGATGGATCATGTACTATTAATCTGAATTTGTACTTTTTGAAGGTTTCATCAGCCAACCAATACGGAACTGCCTCTGGCAGCATTTCATCCCCCTCATCCTTGTCTTGCCGAGGTGTTCTTGATGAAGGGTCCCATGCTGGACTTCCTGGTATATCTGTGGGGAGTGGAAGAGGAGTCGAGCATATGAGAGATGACGGTCCTGCTTCTTTTACAGTGGGAGCTGTCAATTGGGATATGTTGCGAAGTTCAGAGAGTGGCACTGAAAGCATATCGTTTTTCTGGCTGCGAAAACTATGAGTCAATTGAGTCAAAATGAAAGATGAACTTACAGAATGCGTAAATGGATGAGAGGAAAACATTCGACTCTCATTGTGGATATAGCTGTAGCATTCAGCTCAACCTGTGCGTCCCCTTGCAGGGTCGTAGATTTGATTCTTCCATGGTAACCTTTAAAATTCCTGTGAACGACGCCTACTTCTTTGCCTTCATATTGGCGGTTAGGATTTTCGTTTATTCTGACTTTCCGGCCTTCATCGGGGTCCTGCTTTCTTTTTTTGTTGATTGTTTTGACGATTGCGTACTGCCTGTTCAGGGGTGGGGGTGGTATTGGATGTATTGTTGTCCACACAAATGGCGAAGAATAAAATTTGACCTTTGAACACGATGTCCTAACATAAACAGGGTAAGCTATAAGTAAGGACCTCTCGACCGGTAAACATTACCTCTTTCTCCTGCGAAATGTTGACAACGGAAATTTTTGGATCGCCTTCACTTCCAGATTCAACAGCCGTCACCCATTCTATAAACCCAGGATTCGGGTCTGTCATAATCTGGACCTCATCCCCAATCTGGAAGTTTCTTCATAGATAGGGCATCAAAATCCCCTGAGTGACGCCCTGTGTGGGTATAGTGACCTGAACTTCCAAGCCGTCAATTGCTTCAACTTCTCCCAATAATCCCTGATACTCTCCAACGAGAATCTTAACCGGATCTCTGAAACGGAGACACTCTAGCATGATTCTGTCCCGAGTTTTAGTCAGAACTTTTTCTGGAACATCATAAGAAGGCTTGAACATCTCCAGTTCAGTGATGGTGGGCATTGCCTCCGCTGGGATGTAAGAGTTTGTGTCGAGGTCATTGAGAAGTAGGTGACCACATTCGCAATATAATTGTTCGCAACCTTTTGGATCCGTGATCTGGAACCGCCAATTTCTTGCAGAAACACTGCTAGGACCGAGAAGGTGTCCCACTTCAAACACATTCATTAACTTCTGTGGAGGGCGTCCAGAGGTTTTCTTGTTTTCAGTAAAGTTGTGCCATGGGACAACAGCGACGTCGATCAGGAGAGACCGCTTGTCAACATGTTTTATCAGGGTGATATCGCCTTTGTATAGTCTCAGACGCTGCAATCTGACCCAATGATGGAGTGTTGGAGTGTAGGTGTTCCCTTCGGTCAAGCACTTCAGGTAGTTATCACCAGGAACGGGTTTTGTTTTGTTGGGAGTAACATGGGGGACATGAGTGAGCATTCTCTTGGCATCCTCTATTGAGGGCGCTTCAACGAAAACTTGCCCAGGAAGGGTCGCATGTCCAAACACGGATAATGCTCCTGTCACACGGACTTCGTCATTTAATGCCCACTTCATGATGTTGAACACAGTCACTTCCTTGTAACCGACCTGCTGACGTGCTTGTAACTCGTCCACACTGTATAAAAGAATTACACACTTTGCATGGTACCTCCCACAAATTATTGTTGTCATGAATTGCCCTGGGTTCAGGAGAAGATTGCCCTACTGTGATAGGCGTAGAGGTCGATGCACGTTCGTGAGCATGCTAGACGAATGAATGCCATTTTGAGCCCACTCCAGACTCGTGTTCACGAAACGCCTTTGCCAACAGGGTATGGGTGATCAGAAAATCACCGGCATCCTCGGACTCTGACTCGTTATCGTCGATCAATGAGTCTACATAAGTGTGTGAGACTCAAAACGAAAAGATTGGATGCACACACACCCAAGTTACCATCTAATTCATCTTCACATTCCTCGGCATCGGTCTCTACGGCCTCCACATCGACAAAGCGGTTCATGTGTGATTCCAAGTCCTGGAGAGATGATGAACATTAGGATTCCTTGGCATCTCAGTACAATACAAACTTCACATGCGTGTTTTTTGCCTTGACTTCGGGACGAAGAGCTCTGATTTGATTCTAGTAAGACTAAGTTGGCAGCACAACTGTTAGTACCTACTACTATAGACATAACAACTTGCGCTATATACGACTTGTGCTAATGAGTGTGAGAAAAGGAAAACAGAAAACAAGTGATCAGGGTTTGAGGCATCAGTGTTGAGGTCAGGTTCACAAAAGGTCACGTGATGTTGACTTTCATGAGACTACAAACCTCTAGGAATATGCGGTAAGAAATGGGCCACATATTTAAATAGTGTGTCCTTCGAAATAGTAGCTATAAGCACCTGTGTGAACAAGGACAGGATAATGATTAAGATGAACTGCCATAGCCCAATAGATGTTAATCGAGGCGGCGGTTCTACACCCTGTTCTTCGTCAGGCTAGATAAAACAAAAATAAATGTTATTGAATCAAAAAGCTGATGGACATACATATGTACGGCAACTGTGCACCAAATCTTAATGTGATTTCCAATGGAGTGAGCCTATCATCGATCGTTTAGCATAAAACTAATTTCTGATCTTAATCAACTAACATCGACAATCTGAACCAGGCCCGCTGAAGAATGACAGTTTCAGAAAATAGCGCTTGAGAGTAAGAGACAACCGACGTACATGGTGCATGGTGGAGCGCAGCGCAGAACAAGCCGGTATTGATGTTGAAGAGTCGAGGGGAGCTGTCATCACTACCAACCATAATTAAAACACCTCCCAGAGCTGAAGCGACAACTAGGGGGACATTGGTATGGATTGGGTGTTGAAAAGATCTCGTTGGGCGAAGTGGTGGGATTGAGTAAACATCGACCCCATCAACTAAATTGGACACGATGAGAGACCGATTGTTGGCAGCGACAATTGCGTGGCCACTGTGGAGAAGTTACAAAATCAAAACGAAGTGAGGGTACGGGCTGAACTTACATTTGAGTCACTAGTGGCTACCACTATTTATGATTAATCTATGACAACTGTCCAAGAGCCATTGTGTATAATGCCATGGGTTTTATGAAAGGCATCTCATTAGGATTGCCCATCTATTTCATTCAATTTGTCACTGGAATCTTTCATAAGTTATAGGCAAGGATAATGAGATATCATGGGGATATTTCATTAGGCTCTTTGGCCCTTTATTTCATTAGGCTGCTTCGCTTTTTCATTACCATTTCATAGAATTTTCATTAGGATATTTCATTAGGCTCCTTGGCACTTTCATTAGGTTTTCTTGGAATTTTCATTGGGATATTTCATTCAGCTCCTTGACCCTTTCATTACCATTTCATTGAATTTTCATTAGAATGCTTCTTGGCGCTTTCATTAGGATATTTCATTACACTCCTTGACCATTTCATTAGATTTTTCATTGGGAGATTTCATTGGGGCATCTGGCCCTTTCATTACCATTTCTTTTAGGATATTTCATTGAGCACCTTGACGATTTCATCACTTCTCATTAGGCTCCCTGGCACTTTCATTACTATTTCTTAGATTTTTCATTAGGATATTTCATTAGGCCCTTTGGCACTTTCATTACCGAAAACTATATAATAATGATGATATGTATCACATGGGTTGTTGGGAGGGTGGTCACATGACCAATTACCAAAAATAGTCAAAAAGCGAAAGTTGTACCCCTGCACTGTAGCTTCCCGAATCTGGTTGAATTATGTTCTGAAGTGCTCCTGTTGTGGAGATATGAGGTAAAGGAATTCCAAAAGTGTTGTGTTTTTTTTTGGTTTTTTGCATTTTTCTTCATGAAAACAAAACTAAATAACATGATTCCAACACATTTAGAAAGCTGGATGAAAGGGCAACAAATATCATATCGTGGGAAAATTGACCAAAAAAGGAAGGTGCATTCCCTAAAAGAACAATCAACACTGACAGACTACAAGAGTTAGATATAGACTACCAAGTTTACTGATAGACTACAAAAAAGTTGGACATAGGCTACAAAGTTTACTGATAGACTACAAAAGACTACAAAAGTCAGACTTAGACTACAAAAGCTTGGACTTAGCATTAGAAAAGTTTGTAGTGTCTGCTTTTTGAGGCTACAAAAGTTTGTAGTTGACATATAGTTTATAGTGTCCTTGACTCTGTATAGGTTATGGGGATGAGGTTAAAGGATTGACATGATTTTACATATTGCCATTGCTGCAGCATTTACTTTTGACATCATGTACAAATTGTCTTTCACATCAAGAAAGGCTATTCTATGCCTTCATATTGATAGCTACTGTCCTATCTCAAATCATGGTTCTAGGTCCATGTGGATAGGTTTGAAGGATAA